TAAAACATTTTATTATTTTTTGTTGCAATTCGGCAAGTGTTAATTATTATTTTTATTATTGTGCATTTAAACAATGCCTAAAATCTGTGAGCTTTGCCCTCCCCTACACTTAAAAATTATAAGGGCCGAGGATCAGAGGTGCCAATACGAATAGACCAGACCTACAAATGCATTTCATCGTCGATACCAACAACAGTTACAACCAGAAATAGATGAAGAGCAATGTGAGTTCCTAGAAGGCAAGAGAACAACAAATGCTGTATATCTCCTGAGAACAACAAATGCTGTATATCTCAGGAGAACAATAAATGCTGTATATCTCAGGAGAACAATAAATGCTGTATATCTCCTGAGAACAACAAATGCTGTATATCTCAGGAGAACAATAAAAGAACGTTCAACAGAATTAAAAAAAGATCTTCGTCTCTGCTTCATTGATTACACATAGGTCTTTGATAGAGTGAGACATGATAAAAATGTTTCCAAATCTACAAATGGATGGGAAAGACCTTAGACTGATCAAGAACATATCCTGGAAATAGCAAGCTGCTATAAGAATCGATGCTGAAGTAGGATTATACCAACTAATCAAGAGAGGGGTGTGACAGTGATGTGCAATGTCTTCAGATCTTTACAGTGAGTATATTAAGTGACATCTGAAAGACGTGAAGGAGTTAACGTGCCTGGGCGTAACAACGATAGTATAATTCATGTAGATTATAGGTTCTAACTGCAGATAATAAAACAGATATGAAGTGTTTAGTGGGTCCAGTAATAGTAATGAGATACTAGGCTAAGAAACTAGGCTCAGAGTGTGACATTGCAAGAAAACTGTAATTATGGTCATCATCAAAAAGAAAAAAAATGCCAAAGCGTGAAACACGTATAGGACAAAATTCTTAAGCAAGTTAATAGATGCAAGTATTTAAGAACAGTAATAATATATGGTGCCTTGTAGAAATTCTAACAATAATCGCCATTTCAAATTGACTTTAGCAAAATAGAAAACTTGATTTGATTTGATTTAAGAACCGACATCACAGTACTCGAGGTTTTCCCATTAGTGCTCCGTCCCTATCTTCAGCAGCCAGTGAAGAGTTCCGATACCAATGGTGCCAGTAGCATTCCGATTAAACGTCCGTCCTGCCTTTCCTCTGAGCCTCGAGCATCTGCCAGAACCTCTCGTCACTCCCCGCTGCATCAATCTCACCAGACTGTGAGATAGAAAAGAGTCTAACCAATAAGAAAATGTAATTAAAGTGAGGAAAAAAAAATAGTGCTATGTGGAACTTGTGTTGTTATGCATGTGAAACAGGGACAATAACCAAAGCAGCTGAAAAACATTTATTCGCGACAAAGATATAGTTCTGAAAAATGCAAAGAATATCATGGACGGATTGAAAAACAAACGAAGCAGTCCTTAACGTGACAGATGCAAGTCGTATACTTAACAGAACGATTAGACGTAGACAGTCAAGATTTGTGGACACATTATGAGAAGGAATGGACTCTAGAACTTTGCAAGACTGATGAAAAGATAAGAAAGAGCAAGGCAGAGAGATAAATACCCGATAGTCAGGTCAGATGGATAGAGTGAAACAAAAACATTACATTTATTTGGATTTCTGGTAATAATGTGAGATGGCGAAACATAGCAGCCAATGCCTACTCGCACGGCACATAATGAGGATGATGATCACCACTGCTGTGACAACCGGTCAACACGCCATTTTCTGAATCAGAAATTTACAACACAACCAGATTGTGCACAGTCGAAAAACATTCCAAATGAAATCTGCAGCCCTCAGTGTCAAGCCGTGCACTAAATTTAGTAGCTAGGCGACGGAAGATACTTTCAGCCTTTATATAGAAGAAAATACGATGGGTGAACATTGTCAAAGGAAAAAAGATTTGGCACGACTAAATCTAGCAAGGCAGCATATCAACCATATTGGACCGGAATCAGAAACAGTTGAAGTAGCAATAGAGACAATAGTGTCTAAATGTCTGAAGATGATGGGTCGCTAGTAGCTGCATTTTCATCCACGTGTTAACTCAAAGGATTCAGTTTCAAACGCCCAGCTACTAAGCTGAGGGCATGGTGCGACACTGTGAGCTGAGGATTTAATTTACAATGCTTTTCGACTGTGCCCAACGCGGTTTGTGTTGTAACGTGCGTATTCAGAAAATAGCGAGCAGTCTGTTGCCACAAAACTGGTGGTGCCTTAAGCGATTAATTAGGTGTGCAATTATTGATCTGAGTAAGTGCTGCTTTCATCGACGCCGACTGCTTGTGTTGGCACTTCTTACGGCTGCATTATGCATTTAATGCGTGGAAATAATATTAGTTTTACTGAGCTACAGTCTGTATCAACTGTTTCACAAGGGACGGTGATGGACATTATGTGTGGATTTTGTTTGCAAGAAAAGCACCAGCAATGGGATGACCCGTGTGCTTTGAAGTTGGAGCTACGATTACCTGATTATCTTTTTAAAACAAAAGGTGATTGCCAGAGATAAGCAATGATGTGTTCTCAACAGACCTTAGGAACTCACATTAGGTAATTAAACATCCTGTTTTCGTCCACTGCGTAAACCGGATACAGGATGCTAGCCCCAGTATTTTCAGCTGCATAGGCATTGAGTGAGACATTAAACAATATAGTAAAAGACTATTTTCACGCCAGCCGCACACGATGAACGATGTGTTTATAAGATCACGCCAACATCACATAATGAATGATGTAGTAAAACATCAGGCCGACAGTAAATACTTTAAAGGACCATTTTTGATACTTATGTAGACTTGGATCCACCTGGTAGACCAGGTCGATTACCTAGAAAATCCGACTGGTGGAGACTCCCGCCCAAGATCTTCGAGTGGGTAGGCAGGCAAGCGTCAAGACACCCAGCTACCTCGACTCCTATTTGATGAGTAGTGTTGCAAAAGCAAGCCACCGGCGTCTACTTCTCACAACAATTCCTGATTCCATTGGAAGACCTGCCATTGTCCACGCCTTGAGGTGTATTGGACATAGTGCTAGAATTGTATTTTCAGACCAGTCGGCACTCTGTTGACGTGAAACCCTGCATGCCTAGTTACGTTTAAAAAAAGAGTCCCGCCTTGAAGAGGATCCGAATACATTTAACCAGACCAGAAGCCGAGTGCCCTAGCCATAGGCTGTGGTATAGCCCATTTTGTTGGCATAGCTTTAGAAGAAATGAAGGTGGACGGACTTAGAATTATGGTTCCTGCTTCTAACTGATGAAGACCCGATGGATGCTTAGTGTCTTCTCATTCTTCTGCTCTTTAGTGTCTATTAAAGCTGGCTCATTTGTAATATAGCTCATTTACTATGGAACAAATACAGCTTTCAACAACTGACAACGCAAAATAGCGCTATGTTTCAAATAGACATTCTGCCAGTTTATTTCTCCTATTCCACCACAATTACTCAACCACAGTCATCGCTGGTCACTTCAACAACTATGCACCAAAAATCATTCACTCAACGTTAAATACACTTCATTCAACCTACATCGACCACATCACGCCTTCTTCCAACTCTGGTACACAACTGATCCACGAGTAAACACGTAATCGTGGAAACCATGCAACGCAGGGTCATCACAGTGGAGCATAGGCTCTCATACAACTAACGTCAAATCTTCCTATCATTTGCTATTGCAAGTAGCTCAACACCAAATTGTCCGCATCTTTTTATCTTCACCCCTTAAATCCAGTCTGTCTTTATTTTCTGACAATGTGGATTCCTGGGTAGTTTCCGGAAAACGAAGCAGAGAAAGTAGTTACAAGACATGGATGACAGTCAAGCACATAGGGCTAGAGAATTGGCTAGCGACAGACTCATGTGTGCCTTGAACCCGCTGACTAATTATGATGATGGTGTTGGTTTCAATGTAAAGAGTAAAGACATTGTAGTTAATGTTTTTATCTGGTTTCCTCAACCTGTGTACCTATCCAGTGACAACGTCATTTCTTCACCTCTTGTTTTACTGGAATTTATTTAGTTCTTTCTCATAGCTCCACACTTGTGATTATATTATCCCAGGTAATTCCTTCTGTTAGTCCATCTGTTCTTGGTGTGGACAGTTTGGCATTTTGCAGAATATGGAAAGGCGTATCCACCTAGTTTGATCATCGGGCTATGGATATATTGTTCTGATTTTCTCTTTCTGTGCTTCATGTGAGGATGTTGAGCACTTATGAAATACATTTATGTATAGTCAAAGTGATTCTTCACCAAAAGCCAACATAGTTTACGACTCAATAGGTCTTCATCCAGCCATGCCTGCAGCCACAGATTTCACAACAAGAAGAACCTAATGGATGTGCGCGTACTTCGCAGCACCATCTTGCAAAGATCCAAATGCGCGTATCCCTAGAATAGTAATGTCTTAACAATTGGTCTGTTGGTAGTTTTTAAAACTTGAAAGGAAGCCAGGGCAGAGACCATACTTGTAAATGCCCAGATGGTAAGGAATTTCAAATGCGTCTGAAGAGAACAGTCGGCTCTGTGGCTAAGTCGATGCGGACGCTTCATAATGCCGGGGTGCCGGGTTCGATACCAGCTGCGGGCAATGCGCCTTGCGTTGGTTTCGACAGTGGTATCAGGAGCCCGACCGTCCAGTAGGCGATAGCAAACTAGTGGACGTAAATTTGCCTAGAGAAACCACACAACTACTAGGGGCTGCTGGGGTTGGTTCTGCAACGTCCTGTAAAGGATACACAACTCTACCTTTTAACCTGACGATAACATGCGTTTAATTACTAGTAAATGTTAATGGAGGAGGCTACCTTAAATGTATGATTTCAAACAAATCCGCGGTTTTATTGTACTAGGTCAGCTTGAGCTAAAGGTGCCAGACACAGGTACAAGAGGAGGGGGCATTCTGATGTTCGTCATGAGTGAAAATCACTACAGCAAAGATTGTTGTTGTTGTCCACAATCTAATATCAAGTGCCAGATGTGACTACGTTACATTTTGTCTTCTGCTGTGTTTACTGCCAACGCATTTTGACATTTAGAGCATGTGAACTGGGTCACTGGTGGTCGTTTTTTGATCTTTACTTTTTTAAAACCAGCAACCTTTCTCAGAACTGCCGGTACAGTATAAAGGAGTGGGTTTAGGGCCGCATTAATAGGCATTATCAGCACAGTAGACCAAGCAAAGGCCGATAATCCAATCTCAAAACCGCTCAGGGAAACAAAGCCCATAACTGCGATGGGAAACCAGCAGGCGAAGTTGGACATGGCGACAAGGCACAGATTTCTGGCCACAGCGAAATCCTGCTGCTGTCGAATATTTGGGATCTCACAAAGGTCCCGCTGAGCTTTACTTGCCGCGGCCATTGTGCGGTAGACTGACATTTGTCCCAACGCAATCAACAGAAACATAACAAAGTTGAAACAAATAAAGATTGCACTGGAAAACTGCCATCCTGGAAGTCGTTGGCTTGTTAGAGGAAGTCCCAGACACATGCCGTTCGAACTGTAAACCGTCCAGTGTTTAAACATGGGGAACAGTGGTATCAGAGCCACAATAAAACACAGAAGCCAAACGAGGCTACATATGGCAAGAGTCATCTTCCTGGATAGTCTGACGTTGCTGAAAGGATACTTGATCACCAAGAAACGATCGACGGTGATGAAGAACACAAAGCATGTGGAGACTTCATTGGACAATACTGAGGCAAAGCCTGCAATCTGGCATACAGTGTGTCGCCTCCATTGTCGCTCGTACCAGATGTAGGTGTCCCTGTAGTAGAGATCTGCTGAAGCAATTATCAACAAGTAGATGCCCATTATCACATCTGATACAGCGAGATGCACCACAAACATTCCGTAGGCTTTTGTTAATAAAGAACGCGTCCATTTGATTCGGTAGACAATGACGATCAGATTACCAATAATAGCCACAAGCCCGACCAGCCACAACAAAATCCGCTTGAATACTTCTCCCATTAGGTCTGAGCAGGATGACAGTGGATCTACAGGAGAGTGACAGACATCAGAGTGGATTCCCGTGCCACGAACTTGGGGACAGCACAGTGAATACGTGTCTGTGTACATACCAGTTGAAATCATCACGCCCTTAAAAGTGTCCGGATGTAAATAAGTAATATCTATACTTCGGAGATCCAGTATTTGAAGTTTAAGGTGACTTGCAGTTGAGAAGGTTTCTTCATTTAAGTCCATTAGTTGTGTATTGCTAAGATTGAGAAAGAGGAGACTAGCTAACTGATTAAACAATTGACCTGTTGTTTTAATCTGTGTGTACGAGAGGTCAATATATTGCAAAGCACTTTGGAGTCCTGAAAGTTGAAATGCCATTGGGTTGATTTCTGTGAGTCTGCGATTGTGTGACAAGTTGATGACTCGGAGGTTGTACATGGTTTTTAGTAAGCTGTGTTCATTGATATGTTGTATGTCGTTGTAACTAAGGTCTAGTGTGTGGACGCTAGATAAACCCAAGATACTTCTGACACTGTTTGTACCAGTAAAAATGTCAGTAAAATTTCCGAGCTCTTTTATCTTGCATTCCGTCAATATTAGCGCATTTAAATTATCCATAGACAGTTCTAGAAAAGCTATAGGAAATATTTCTGTAAGAATTAAGCCAGAAAGGTTAAGATAGCGAGTTCTACGATCAATAAAGCTCAAAGAAGTTAGAGGTGTGTTTCTGTCATAATTATAGACACTAATAGCCCCGCCCACACACAAAAAGCCCGTCCTACACGTCATTCTACAGTTGAGTTCGTCATCACCTTTGGGACAGTGCGGGAACTTGTCACAGACCAGATCCATGTGCACGCATACACGACTGTCTTTGCATGCAAAATTCCCGCCCTCGCAGTTAGGAAAGAACTGCTCCAGCTCGTCTTCTCCACGAGGACAGCTCGTTTGTTGATATGATCCACGCCCCACAAGCCTGTACATACCCACCATTGGGCGATAAAGATTTCCAATGTGTGACTGTCAAAGGTGACTGGTCGATCCAGTGAAATCTTCTGCCTAAGCTTTGCAGGTCTCTGATGAGACCAATTTGAACCAGAAATGAAAAATCTTCAAAAGTTTCTTCATACCAAAGTAGCCGTCTTGGCGTGGCCAATTTTGATTTAATGAAATCCAGCTCATTAGCGGTTTCTATTGAAGCAAGGCTTGAATGTTGCTCCTGACATCGCTTTAAAGAGTCGCTCCATGTTATTCTTTCTGGAACCAAAACAAGATTATAACACGAAGTAACCCATAATAAACTGTCCACGTTGATGCTCTTTAAACAAAAACCATCCTGGATAACAAGTACCGCATAAGGCCAGAGGTATCTCATGCGCAAACTTAAGGGAGACCAAATTATTTACTAGAACAAAATGTCTTGGATCAATTTCTGAAGGGCTCATGTCACCTACAACAACAAAAAATAGTTTAAAGTTTTTATTCCAAAGATTTAAGTCTGCTTTACAAAACCTGTTTACCAACGAACTTTCCAAAACAAAAATGCACACTTTCTGTACACTTTCAGGGCCATCAAAGTCAGCGCTAATCTCATAAATAGTGGACGTTGTATTTGGTGTGCCAGGATGGATCTCAGCGTCACCGTATGATACTTGTTTAAGCAGCCCTTTTCAGTGTGGTGACATTTTCCTGTTTGGAGCCACCAAACAGCTGCAGATACTGAAAGCCTATCGGTGCTGTGGCTCGATATGTTAGCAGGGACACATTCAGATGACGTTGCCGGTCGTTGGAACCGGAGAACAAATCTATCAGCAGAGAAAAGAACTTCATTTGATGATGGAATCCTCCTTGACATTGTACGCCACGAGGTACAGATGGGTGTCTGCACCCGAACAGTCCAGGAATGGCGAACCATTGTCAGCAAACCCTGTATAATAGAAACACAAACTTTCTTGATTGATGTACAACTTGTGCAACACAAATTGTTTAATATTTTACCACAACGAATACGGCTGTTACTACTAAACTTCTGCCACCCCACCCCCCCCCCCCCCCAAAAAAAAACCCCCCGACAACAGCAGCAGCAGCAGCAAGCAACAAACAACAACAACAACAACAACTACTACTACTAATACTGCTACTCCTACTCCTACTACTGATACAACTACTATTGTTAAATTTGATGATACTCCTACTACAATCACTAAAACTGCTACCGATATATTACTATCGTTACTACTACCACCAGCACTATTACTATTACTACTACTACTACTATTTCTGCTGCTGCTACTACTTCCACAACTTCATAAGAGAATTAGCTTGAACACAATTTAATCTGGACATGCCGGCCCATGTATTCTAATAAACCTACTGAGGACTCAGGATAACTCAAATGATGAGGAAACTAGCTGTAGTAACAGACTTGGGAGGGGGCGGGGGGTGGGGAGGGGTGGGGGTGGGGGTGTGGGGGGGGGGTGTGGGGTGGGGGTAATTCAAAATCGTGCTTTCGGCAATACTACAGGGGCCATGCGCTCTACACACATATCAGTCATAGAAACAACTACTGTTGTTCCATGCTCTGGAAGACAGGAGATATACACAGCTCCTCGACCAGCTCTGCAAATACCACCACTTGAAAGACTTGAAAGAACAACCCATGCACAGCCAACTGCACACCCCGGATGGTCCAACTGTACACCCAGAGGGTCCACCTGTATACACCGGAGGGTCCAAATGTACATTCCGGGAGGTACGCAAATGCCAACCTTTCAGACCTCAAACCATAGTTCTAAATGTTCCACTAAATCCGTACAGCCAACCCCCCCCCCCCCCCTCTCTCTCTCTCTCTCTTTCTCTCCGTCTCGCTCATGCTTAAGGATAACTTGAAAACAGTCAGGATCATTGTAACAGTGATCTCCTCTAAATTATCTATAACCAGCACTGATATGAAGTCCAGTGCAGAATAAGAGTTCAACAGACTTCATCCACACCAGAGTTGGATTAGATTTTATACAGATAGTTCAGCCAAGAGAGCGATGAAAGACAAAAGAGAGGGAATTAAAAAAATGCCCATGTAGTTTACACAATTGAACAAGAAATACCGAAAGGTTAAAATTCCTCCAATTATAAACCAGAGACTGATGCACTTCTGGCGGCATGTTCTTTTCTAACTGAACAACAGCACAGCAAAAATAGCAGAGTGGTCTTTCTGACTGATGCTATGTCAATTCTACATAAAATACAAAAAGAAAACATGCAGTTTGTAGACTTGATCAGCAGCTGATTCACTTAGGCTCTTCAGTAAAACAGTCAGTACTGTAGTAGATTGCAGGTCACTGAGTCTTGGAGGACAATAAAATATTGGACAGATTGGCCACAAGCGGCAGTGACATGGTGCAAACAAATTGTGACCACCAAGAGAATAAGGTTTCGACACATTATGTTATCCAAGAAAGGTGGCCAGACACACACAAGATTCTCTCAAGATTCACTCCATCGCCCCTCTAGAGAGGGACAATGTGTTATATACAGACTTCATTAACGTATTTTCAAACTTTTCGTTGTAGTATAAAAACGGAGACGTGTCCCAGCATTGTGGTACCAGAAATTACTGAGCATGTGCTCCAATACTGTCAACTGTATGGTGCCAACTGAGACGCCTATTCTAGATTCATTAAAGACAAAGTGGTAAGGTACACGAGGAGATATGGACTGCACGATACCTTTCATATAGGCTACCGGCCTCATGATGTTAGTTTTCGGCTATCCTCTGAATAACGGCCACATATTATGGCGGCCACGAAAACACCCTAACAGGGCCTCAGTCACATGTAAATTGCGAACTTCCGGCGACTTAAATTGCGAACTTCCAGCGACTAGCGCCACCGCCGAGAGTATATCCCACGCTAAACTAGATGGCTGGGACTCACGAGCAGCAGCTTCCGCATCTCCCGCAGCTTTGCTTCTGGGTCCTAGCAATCTAGTTTAGCCCCAATCCACCCCGCTATGCGTGGCGTGGAAGATACTCTCGGCGGTGGTGGTATAGTCGCCGGAAGTGCACAATTTACATGTGACTGAGGTCATGTTTTTGGTCGCCATAATATGTGGCCGTTATTCGGAAGATAGCCAACATTCTAAGCTTGTGTGTACTTTCCTGAAGCCGAGCTTTATTGTCCTATGTTCCGGTTTATCCATTGTTTGGTATTAGCTAGACAATAGTTACCTTTTTTCAATACGAGTTTCTATCTCGTGACAATTCTTGCATGTTTTCACTTACCTTGTATGAGATGAACCAACAAACATAAGGACACCGAAAATACCGGTAATAAATTTCTCATGTTTGGTAACTAATAGAACAGGATTTCCACTTTCACAACAAACAATTTATATACATATATTTATATATATTTTAAATCACAATGCTGGAGCTAATGTTTGCTCATTGCTCTCAGTTAATGTTTCTCAATTACAAAAGGCAACAAAGCCAGATTTAACTACACTTTTCAACTAAATATAATATGTCTACCACCGATGAATACTGAATTATTAGCAACATATTTAACGTTAGATGAGGGTGACATTGGGAGAAAATCCCAACAGGCAAGATGAAAATAGGGTACTAACCATGCGTAGTCGGGGGACAAAGGTTGTAGTGGCAAGGGATTGAAACTAGTGGAGCGTAACTGGACCGGCTGTTGTTTGGCAACATTTATTGTTAAATGGTTTCAGTACAGAGTGTTTATCGATACAGCGAACGGCGTGGGTTGGTGTGTATATGTTGAGATAAAAGCGCAAACAATGCCCTGATTTATCTATAGAACATTTCCGAAAAGAATTATTTAAATTAACAAGATCTATATGTGTGCATCATTCACTATAATAAGGCAGATAATGGAGTAGAACATGTAAAAGAAATATAATAACAATATTAGAAAACTTAATCATTGATGGCAAAGAGAAAGAAAAACCATATGGAAAAAAAACTATTTATGAGGTTAAATGTAGAATAGCTCAAATAAAAGAAACCTTTTCCCTAACATTCTATGTAATCTACAGAGGTGTGAGAGTTCTTATGAACTACATAGAGCCAATGTTCGGTGGTATATTATGGACAATTAGCTGCTTAAATAACTATGTGCAAACTCCAGAGATTTTTGTCGGCGTCTGTCTTTTCCTTCTTCTTCGTTCACCGGCTGTGAATTCTGGCGGAAGATCCTGATTGATTGTCCGCTTGATCTTTTGGCTTTTACCTGGACCTGAGTTGTGCGTGTACAACCGTTTTACTGGCCTTTGCCATCCCCTGCCTCACGGGCAGATGTACCTCGACTTTGAGTGATGTCGGCGTCTGTGATTCTGGCGTGGCAAAATATCTTCGTAATTCCGAGGTGCCCGGTTCAGTCTCAGTTGCGGTTGATTTGACAGCAGACCGCTTTGCTTCGGTTTTCACTGCGGTATCGAAAACCGACCATTTAGTAGCAACAGCAAACTACTGAGCGTCAAACTGAAATCACAAACAGCCAACAATAACTGGAGTTGGTTCTGCAGCTTCCTGTAAAAACACGCAACTGACTTGACAGATTTTATAGACGAATTATTAGAACACCATATAAAGATAACAGAATGATGAACTCTTGAAATAAATTAATTCACGAATAGAAGTGACAACATGCATCAGTAGACGGCATCCTCATCCCATCAGTATTTCACAAAGTGGGCTTTACCGAGTCCTGAAAGGTGGGGGGGGGGGGGGGCCCTTGAAACGGCCTATTGAAGCAGTAGGAGTTTCAAGTGCAGTTATCAGCATAAATAAAAATAAGGTGACGATTAGGTGGGGGAAAAAGTTGGGAGGGGTGGGGGGGGGGGGGTGAGTGTCTGCACTGACCATCAGTACAATGGGGAATCATTGCCGCTTATACTTATCAGCATGACATGAAACATGATAATGATTTTTCCTCCCAAATACAAACGCCAATGGTAGCTATAAAACACTA